GAGTAGCTGGATTCCCCTGTCAGCTTCTGGAGGAGACTTGGCAATGCTAATACCAGCAGTGTAGGAGGATTGGCGTGGTGAGGATATTGGGTCTGGAACTGTGGTGTCATCCGGCTGCGCGCTTCTGGTCCTAGGACTTGTTCCCTAGCGATCCAGCCATTCTTGTCCATCTGATCGAGCCAGCTCCGGAACACGGAGACAGCCAGATCAAGGTCCCACTCCATGACAGGCAGCAGATGGAAACCCTCATCCCATAGGAAACCCCTGGGGAAGGAAGGCCTGGAGGGTGTGAAAGACAGCAGCGAAGTTGGTCCCGTTGTGGTGATCGAGACGCCGCCCACGGCTGATTCCTCCTTCTGCCAAAATTCGACATCTGCTTCCTCGTAGTCTGGAGGGCTCGAAAAGTCTACCTTACTGTCCCCATGGAGGAATGCTAGGCCTCCCAATAGATTTGAGAGCACCGCTTGGGAGAAATCTGCATACTTGTCTTCCTGAAACTGGGAGGCACGGGGAAATGCTTTATCCACCTGCGAAGGGAAGGTCGAGCGTATGTCGCTGAGCCTTGTAACATTGGCTATATCGGTACTGGTCAGAACAACGCATTAAATTACTTGTCCGTGATTGCTTACGGGAGTGGCCATAGGTGAAGGTTGCTACAAAGGAGCCGATGAAGTTAAAGTGGACGAAATGCACGTTTCCATGATGAGGGTTACTAGAAGGCACAACCTTCCTGTAATCTTGGGAGTCATCGTTGTCCAGTAAGTCAATGTAGACGGCTGATCAGGCAAAATAATCAGCTTCGCTCCGATATGATGTTCCTCCTCGCAACGTCGTCCCACTTACATTTGGCCTGCCATATCTTGTCCTCGGGAACCTGAGCGCTCTTGACTGCTGTACGATGGATTATATTTTCTTCGCTGTCAGCGAAAACGACGAGGTTGAAAGGCCCCAACTTCGGATCTTGGCCGTGGCAAGTCGCCCCAAAAGCTAGCGAGTGTCCGGTCCCCCGGTTCAGATGCTCACAGTAGAGAGTCTTCTCTTTCGAGGCATCCATACCCTCAAGGGCAAGATGAAAGATAATAGACGTTTTTAGATTTGTTGGGGCGCCTGGTCGCGGTGTCCCGGCAACTCGAACCGTCCAGCCATGGCCGTCCTCTGTCTTGAGGAAGTCGGTGGTGAGGTCGACACCAAGTTCTTCATCATGTATGGCCTGAGAGCCCCCAACTCGTGGATCATACATAGTCCAACCATATCCTTTCATGCCATCATTTTGCTCACACGTGTCACGGATAGCTGTTCAGCACGTATGTAAGCATGTTCGGTTGCGGTGCTTGGGTCAGTAACATGGTGAACGACAACGCACTTTCCGTGAGACGGTACCGATCATCGCCACTCGCCCACATCAAACCCATGAGAAGAGTCTCGGGTATCTGTGGGCGCACACCGAAGTACAGGTTGGGTCTGTACGGTCCCCATGTCTGCCAGTCGACTAATACATCGCGGTCCGTAGCTGCGACAGCACGGGTGAACCAGGTACTCAGCAGAATACCAAGGGCCAACAGCTGGACTTGGAAGGGGCCCATGGTGTCATGTCTGTCTCAGGGCCAAAGAGATACCTAGCTACCAAGAGGATGCGAGAAGTACAATGCTCGCAGGAATACCAGATAAGATGACTGAGCATGAGCATGAGCATGAGCATGAGCATGAGCATGAGCATGAGCATGAGCATGAGCATGAGCATACGAAGAGCTCGTACGTAGGTTCCGGGATAAACCTCAAGGCGGCTGTCGGATATGAGGAGGTAAGCATCGAGTGAGCTACACGAACAATCACGTACGGTCATCTGCACGTGTAGCGATAGTAGTGCCTGTGCCGCGGCACATTCCAATGTTAGTCCAGCCGCACAGCGCGACCAGAGTAGGATATCTGTCAGATTTGACTCAGAATCGAGTACGACAAGCGGATGGCAGCTGCTTGCTGTTTACCTGGGTATGCACAATAGTCTACTGCAAGTGTGAGTGTGAGTGTAAGTGTACATCCATTATTTCCGACCTGACAAGGGTTACAAAGTTTTCAGGTTACTTCCAAATTTACTTGGGTACCTAAGCACTTATACACTGCAGCAGTAGGGGCTTCCAAGGTTGTTGACAAAGGCCCCCGCCCGCCCAAACAAGCGTATAAGCGCCCCATGCGTCGCCAACTCCCTGTCGATTACCTTCTAGCTCCCGGGGGTGATGCGTCGCAGTACCTCACTGTGCGTATGCACTTGATCTTACTGACGACATTAATCTCCACCCTTCCCATGTACAATAGTAGCCCTGTCGCAATCTTCAATTTCAGGGCGCGCATGGTCTCGATAGACCATTGGAACACACCCTCGTATTCATCACATTCGGAGTCATTACTTCGCGAGGGAGCAAAAAGAAAGGAGGAAATATCAAGGGCCACTGACTCCCGGCAAAGCCGCCATGGCTACCCTCGAGAGCGTCCCGGACGAGATAATACGCCACATCCTCGAATACCTCTCGCCCGAAGAAACCTTCGCGAACATCCGGCTGGTCTCCAAGGCTTTCAATCGCGTCGCCAACGAGCCCCTCCTTTGGAAATACTACTGTCTGGCCTCCTTCCGGTACTGGGGTGAGGAGCACCGCCTCAGCGAAAAGCTGCAGTCAAGAGCGTCGCAGACTGCGTGGAGGAAGCTATGGAGGAGGAGAAAGAGGCGGAATACAGAAATATCCAGGTTGCTAGATGATGTAATCACGAGCAAGGTCGGGCGACTACAAAAGATTGGTGAAATCTGTCGATATGGCTACGACGCCAAAGATTTACTAGTGGCGCAATGCCGGACGGATGACTCTGCGGACGATGTCCTGGCCCGACGATATTACGCCAACACGGTACTCGCCAGCATACACAGGAGCGTCGCAGTTCACGAGTGGTCACAATACCAGGAGCGCGCGTCCTTCATGACCGTTCAAGGGCTTGATCGTGCGCTCGCAGCCTTCGACATGTTCTTTGTCCGCGAAGACGAGGGCGACATCGACGACACCTGCGCGCTGCTGGATCGCCTGGCCGCCGACTTCATGAAAGAGCAGCCCAAGAAATTCGACGCGCTCTCCGCGCGCGACAAGGCACTGGCTCTCCTGAAATGGGTCCGGCAAAGGAATTTGGTCGGCATGGACGAGCCGGAGGAGAATTACCGCAACCTGCGCAACTGCCTCATTGGCTACGCCCTGCGCGACGAGAGGCATCCTTCTCTCCCCATCATATCTGCCGCCATCTACACATGTCTGGCAGAGAGGATTGGCTTGCGTGCTGCTTGCGCTGCCTTCCCCAGTCACGTGCATGCCATGGTCATGGCGCCACCAGGTCGGGACCTGGACGGAAAGGAAACGTCTGCGCCCGCGAATGAAGCGGACAAGATGTTCCTGGACCCATATGGTTCGGGTGAGGAGATCCAATATGATGACTTGCGCTCCCGACTTGTGGAACTGGACTGGATCAACGGCAGAGACGCATTTTTGGTCGCGGCTCCCGTGCCCGTAATGGTGTATCGTGTTGGCCGAAACCTATCGGCGACCTTTGGCTCGTTCTGGAACAGCAGGCAAGAAGAGCTTGCGGCGCTGAACGGCCGTCCTTCCTCGAAGCTGACCGTGGAGAGCGCGGCTTATGCGGCTCGTTGGGCCAACCTCCTGGTGACGCCCCTAAACAACTTTCAGTGGGACAGCACCCTCGACCAGTTCCTCAACCAGGTTGCGCAGCAGTTCCCCGAGGATTCGTGGCTGGTCGAAGAGTATATTGTGCCTCTCTACCAAATCTTCACGCAATCCATCCAGCCTCGCATTCGGTTCACTTGGGAGAATGTCCCCGAGATGCTAGGTATAATCCGCAACATGGACAATAGGCAGCCAACGGTCAGCCGGCGGTACACCCAGGAGATCCACCAGAACGTATGGTACACTGTTGGTCAGGTCTTCCGGCACAAACGGTATGGATACATCGGCATCATCAACGGATGGGGTGAAAGGGGTACACAGTCCCTGCCTATGCCGCATAATATGTCCTTCGAAGAGGCCATGGATGAGATGGGAGATTCTGGGACGGACAGCGACACGGTCAGGCAACGGCTCCGCAAGAAGACCTTCTACACGTGCTTGTCAGTATTATCCATCAGCCATATGGGGAAACCTTTTTGCCCTGCTCCGTCATCCTCCGCTAACACAGTCGCACAGGAAGCATGACCACGATCGTCATGTCGTTGCCCAGGACAGGATTGAAATCGTCAGGGATCCGAGGCTCATACCTGATGCCCTTATGCACGTTGCTGGAAAGTTCTTCAAGAGGTTTGACCGCAAGACGTGCACTTTCGTATCGAACCTCAAGGAGTACTTCCCCGACGACTAGTTGGAAGGATTGAGGCAGAGGTGGTGACGGCGAGGTTTTCATATCACGGCACGGAATTGCCCATAGTCTCTTCGATACCAATACCCAACATAGCGTTTCTCTCTGGACACCTTGTCATTGCGTTCTGAGTGATAGGTACCCAGCCCCGTCACTTCTCCCCCACCAACCCTCGAGTACCTCGCAATCGGGAAACAGGTCGACACAGCTCCTTTCTGAGCCTTCACTAGAGATATGCCGCCTGGACAGGCTTATACGGAGATCCTAGCCCCTGTACTGCGCCGTTGCGTGTCCAGAGGAAGTAGCATCACCTGAAACCTTGGGATGAAGCAGATGGCGAAAGAGCGGATGTTGCAACATGTAGGGCTAAGAGAGAGGAAAGGCTTCGTTAAGTGCATCAACCACAACATGCCTCTGACACGCGCTATATGCATAACTATATGCCTTTTGCTTTGAAATAATTGACCGCGAGCATATCAATCTGTCCTACGAACTAGGGGCGGATTTACAGTTATGCAGCGCGCACGGGAACTGAATGATGAGAAGAACTCAGAATGGCACATGCGGATATATAGTATACGGAAACTACATACTGTGAGGGTCGTATGGCCGAGTGGTCTAAGGGTTAGTCTTTTCTTCCGCGTTTTAATGAAATCAAACGGACTCTAACATTGTCTGAAGCGGCACATTTAAGCTGTGCTATCCGAGAGGATGCGTGCGTTCGAACCGCACTGCGACCAATACCTTTTTTGTGGTTTTCACTTTTTGCCTTTTTGTCTTCTTGCCCCTTGGTTCGTTCTAGACTTGGCTATCATTCGAATAATACTGCATTTCGGTTACCTATCTGGCCCTTGTATCGAGGCTCTGCGGAGAGCACGTGACAGCTCTGGCCGTACCATGTCAATGGAAATGAGAAGAGGCAAAGCACGCCGGGCCACTCAACCCCTTCTTGGCCTTGCCGTAGAGCAAAAAGCCTCTGTGGATCTCGAGCATACATACACGCTCAATGATCCACGACTATTTCCATTCCCAAGGATCCCCCGCCACGATTTTGTTGCAAATAACGCGGCACAGGCCGCGCAGCCGCGCATTGCAGTCGATGACCGCGATTCGTAGTTAGTACGGGCCAATATTGCTCTATTACGTGGCTGCCAAGGTTTAACCTTGTGGAATCCCGCTTGGTGACTCCTCTATCTCGTTGCCATCAAAACTCACTCATAACTATCTCCGCCCGCGCTTTCCGGTTACGAGTTTGGATAAGGGAAGAGGCATAGCATAGAACGATCGTCGGAATGGAGACACTCGGATATGGAGAGCCAAGGCTAGATTATCCCGGTGTTGCCTAAATCACGAAGATGGCTGAAACGGACATAGGCAGTGACTATGTCTGACCCGTGTTGCCTACCCAGGAACAACTAGTCTGCGGGGGGGTCAACGCAATTCGCCTGCAAAATTCGAAGATATTGGCGACGGAGTGTAGAATATAACACTATACGACCCCTTCGAACGAGACCTCAGTAGACACCCCCGAGCTGAGCGATATCTTGGACGCACGTTGGTTTAACTCCGCAGGTGACTTCGTCCTGAAAGAAAGTGAAGAACGAACTGGCATGGACCGAGTGGAATGAATAGCTTGACATATCGGTCCCGAATGAGCCCAAGCTGCATAACTTGTGGTATCAAAGGATGGAGCAGATGTACAGTCCTGGGCTAACGGGTAGGAAGGAGGAGGCCGGATGGTCAAGGGGGGCACGGCACGGGCACGGCGTGGTTGCCTCTCAGAGCCTTATTGTCCCAGTCTCAAATGTGCAGCACAGAACTGAAGTTGATCCCAGTGAAGAAGTCTTGCGCGCAAGCCATCCTTGATACGTGTCAAGTGTCCAGTCTTGTCTGCGGGTGGCTGGGGAGCGCTTCTGACTCCTTGGGAACGCGTGACCTGACGGGCACTCTTGGGAATGTCTTCTGCTGTGATGCATTGCTAAGTGGCCCTCCCCTGTATTGCCCACATCAACATCCCCATTCGGGTTGAGAGCCATCCTGCAAGGATGATATGAAAAACCCACCCATGAACCGGCATTGAAAGAACTGTTTCCCATACTCGTACGGGAAGCCAAGAATATACAACAGCGGCTCTGTGGTTGGTGAGTGAGGATTCTGGTATAGGCTTCCCTTTTCTCTCGCTCGGCATGTAGACAGTGTGTATTTGGTCAACGGCCCGAGAATCCAGAACATCGGCATCCGAGCGGCGGCTTTGGACTCTCCCTTGGAAGGGCTCAGACTTGAAACATTGGACATTTGGCATGCGGCCCGGGGCAGCGGGAGAGACATCGGCAGAGACACGGCGGCGTGCCGAGCAGCTAAGATTTATGCTTATTGATGGAGACGGGTGCTCAGTATGCTGAAGGCATCTGGCATGCCCAAGGCGGCTTGGAGAACGCAGACAGGTGTCAATATCAGGGACGTGTCGTGTCCTCCACCACTGTATACCCGAGAGGGATAACACCATTCATTCCTCAAGAGAAACAAATAGCATGGTTCTGTCAGCCGATATCCGATAAGTCACCATGGCTACAGACCGAAGGCAGGTCATGTTTCAACGGGAAATGCACGAGGCATGACGACAGCCTGGGCACATGCTTGGATCCTGCGGGGCCACATGTTGTTTTCAGCTTAGCCTCCATTCTGTAGAGAAGCTGAAAAATGGCTGATTACAATCCTTGGGAAAGTCCGAAAGCGGTAACCCTTAAGACGGCCGCCGCGGCGCCGCTGTCACGGCCCAGAAAAGGAAGGGAGCTTGCGGCAGCTACCGTAAGGCAATGGGCGATGGGATCTAGAACTCCGGGGCGAATGGGTCCATGCTATGGCCTCGAACAAAAGAAGAGACGCGTTCCTGCGGTCTGCGGTTCGTTTAAGCTTATCTCCAGACGGCTCGTTCTGTCTCGAGAGGTCTAGACCACCAGGGGGGGGAGCGTGGAGAGCCAGTACGCATACAACCGATTGATAAACAAAAACAGTATGTATCTACTGCTATAATATGGTGGAATATAGACAGAAATACGCACGTCACCGTATCCCCCTTCTTCTTCCCAACACATTGGTGGTGACAAGACGACAGTGTTGCGCTACACCTTGGACACTGACAGGTTGTTGGATGGGCTGATAGGCCGATAAGGGCGGTGAAGGCGGACAGAGGGAATGTGGAATAGCGCTGCTGGCATTACTTTACCAAGGGACTGGAGATGTCTCGGGCATCACCGTAGTGGGCAATCAGGGCTGAAGCTACCGTCCTGTCCTGAACTATCATGAGACAATGAGACTTTAATTTGAATAAACTCGATCGGGAATGATGAGAGAGATTGAGGGGCAGATGCCGCTGGTGACTTGTTGTCTCGGATTTCCTGGGCCCAGGGGAATAGTTGCTCTTCGAGATGCTCCTTCTGGTGAGACACTAACAACGTCGTCTCGTCCGGAGCACACAGTCCCAGACCGAGTCAAACACCATAAAGGTTTGCGCCTTATCAGGTGCCTGAATGGTGGAAGGGGATGATGGTGATGATCATAATCATGATCATGATCATGATCAAGATCATGTTGATTGGCCTTTTGATCCCTTGCGACGCGTGGAAGGAACAGGTTTGTGCAGGCGCGGCACTGAATGGCCCGTAACATATGTACCTACCTAGGCTAGGTAGTTAATGAGTGAACGCACACAGTATTCCATACCCTCCCTGTGTACGGAGTTTGGTAAGTTTCGTCCAGGGCAGGGTCGAGTCGAGTGCAGCGTCGGGGGAAAAAGCAGTGGTAGACGAGCCGGGTGGAAGCCGCGATCGCCGACAATCTCCCCCTAAAACGGTCAGATAAACCAAGAACCAAGTCTGCGTGTCCAAAGGAAGAAGAAGATCCTGCAATGGATCCCCACTGCTTCCTTCCACACTCCACCCACCTACGTGTGTAGGTAGCTGGGTTATGGTAGTACTAGTAGATTCGTGTCTCAAGGATCCATCGTGTGCCCTTGCATTACCCGGTAATAAGGGGGGAGGGGTGTTGTGTCATAGAGTGCCAGGTGCCGACAGTGACTTGCGAGTCGATCCAAGGCCATGGAAAACCTTTCCGAATCAAAACCTCCGCTTGGAAAAAATTACAGTACAAAAAAAAAACCCAACCCTAGGCCTCTGGGGCTTCGGGTCGGCCGCGCTGGTTTACTTGCTGCTTGTTGGAAAGGATAACGACATACCTGCCCGTTCAGGTAAGTAAGTATCATTCCATTTTCTCGGGCTATTCCCGTTCAGGGCCGTGCCTTTCTCCGCCAGTCCGCGCTGCTCTCGACATTGACTGATTGACCTGCACCGAACTCCACCACCCGCGCCTTCCCTGCGAGGGTCTCCATTGCCCACTCGTGGCCACTCCACTTCGACCACTCCACCTCGGCCTGCAAGCAGGGCCAGCAGGGAAGGCACGGTGCACTGTGACTGCTGGCGCCGGCGCTGGCGCTGACAACTCTTCGGATCGCCTTGGAGGCCCTGATTATCGGTTCTTCCCACCCCCCAGTGGCCCCCAGTGCAAGCTCCCCCCAAAGGTCTCACTGGTCTTACTCTTGCTCTGTCTCTCCGGGGCCCTCCATGCCAATCGTGCTCAACCCCCATTCATTGCGTCCGCGTCTCCAGCGCATTTATCTACTTGGTACACAATTTGACTTTACGGGTGTCGTATTACCTGCCTACCTATTGGAACCTACCCAAACTACTCTCCAACAAAAAAGCCTTTCCCCATGGCGACACATTCCAACTGCAGTCCTACAACACCTCTGACGACCCCCGCCGGCCTCTTCTAAAAATCAAGTCGCTCCCTTCAGCGTCCCACAGTCCTTTCTTCGGACGGAAAGCATCATCTGATTTAAAGACGTGCGACCCAATCCATCCTCGATCCGTTCAGAGCGCAGTACTTTCAAGGTCCCCTTCCCCGCCTGGCGCATTCATTACGTAGCGCTGAAGCCATTCCGACCACGACGGTCACGACGGCCAACCTCGACCAGCCTACATTCCGCCTCGAGATCCAGCTCCTAAACTCGAGAGATTCGAGCGCACAGTATATACGTCGTGCCAAGAGTTATTTTTCCGAGGAACGAACAAGTAGTACCAAAATAAATGGTCCTGCAGTAGGGGAGGAGGAAGCTGAAATACAGGCTCTTGTTGTCTATTGTCCCGAGACAGATTTATATACACCATACAATCCTACGGCACAATCATGCCGCCCGAAGCCGAGATGTCTGCGCAAACTGGAGGAAGCAATTCTAGCGACTTTGTAAGGCTGCTGCTGCCAAATTTAGACCTTGGACTTGCTCAATGCTGACCATCCTCACAGGTTCGCAAGCTCTACAAGTATGCCATCCACGCCATGTCCCTCCAAGAGCCCATACTAACAATCTGGAATCAAGGATGCTGGAAGACCCTCAGTATGCCTCAGTAGTTCGATGGGGAAATGAAGGCGACAGCTTTGTTGTCCTCGAGGTATGGCCCAAAGTTTGACGCGGAGTCGAAAGATCAGTATCCTGACCATTTCGGACTACAGAACGAGAAATTCACGAAGACCATACTGCCGAAACATTTCAAGCACAGTAACTTTGCCAGCTTTGTTCGGCAACTCAACAAGTATGATTTTCACAAGGTCCGGCAAAACGAGGAGAACGGCCAGTCTCCGTACGGTTCCCAGGTTAGTGTCATCACCCTGTGAGACGTCTCGG